CGCCATCGTAGCTGCTGGTTGTACACGTGCGTGCGTGCGTGCGTGTGGGGGTACACGTGCGTGCGTGCATGTGCACGTGTGCGTGCGTGTGTGTGCACGTACGCATGCGTGCGTGCGTGTGTACGTATACGTGCGTGCGTGCCATCTGTAGTGGAGAATATGTTTGTGAATGAATGTTGTTTACCTGTTTACTTTGTTGCAATATTAAAATATACTGGTTTAATATTACTCAAATCCATGTGGAAGCATAGCGGTGGTGTGGAGTGCAAACACCATTCACTACTTGTATTGTGTTCAGCAGATTGGGTACCCTAATCCTTGGACTTTCTATATTTATTTTTGTTTTTGCTCACATAAAGTAAATTTATACGTCCTCTTTAATTATGCATAGGGATAGTGCCTACAATCAGCTGTGTGTCATCTACCCACTCACCCTTGATGAGGATCCACCTACAATGAAGACCTGCAAGGACATCAACCAGCAAAAGGGACAACGACTATACAATCGATGGATGTATAAGCGAACGAAGTTGCGAGGCAAAGAACTAATCGGTTAGGCTTGAAATCATTTTTGCCATGGACACATGCGATGCATTGATGTATCAAAACAATTAAAATATGACTATTCTGCCAACCGAAAAGGCTGGCACTTGTTTCGGGCTAATTTGCATTGTAATAACACAGGCGCATCCCCAAGAACAAGACCATCACATCACGCATTGAAGAAGCTCATGAAAAAGAAATGATGTGAGCAAAGGCTAGAGGCCTACGTACTTGACAACTGGGTTCCATCATTAAGAAAGCGCGGTGAAAATGTCGGGAAAGAGGGCCAATTAAAAAAGCTAATTATAAAGCAGAAATGGCCCGGCTTAACTGTTGCTCATTCGGAAAAGGAAAGAGGGGTTAAAACCACGCGTCCATTTAGTAAAGGTGAGGTAGTGTGTGACTACCATGGGCCACTGATTACCCGTGATGAAGGTATAAAAAAACAAGAGGAAATGCTGGAGGGGGGCTGTCCCATGCATAGAAATCTAACTAACACTAGAACGGCCGTTGCCCAATCATGACGCGCAATACGGTTGCCATATTGAAACACTACAGCATGGAAGTAAACAGATACACATGTGTGTGTGTGTGTGTTGATGACTCGCTGTCGATCGCTGCATCGAACGAAACTTGACTGTCATGCTTTTAATTTTTTGTTGAGGAACTACACACTTGTCAAAAATGACTAATAAATAAAACAATAATCAATTTCGAAGTGAAGAAGACCGATAAAGCTAGAGAATTATATAGGCCTAAATATACGCATGTGGCATGGATATATATACTAGTCTATAGTCATGATACATGTGCTACCCATAGACACCTAATTTATCAGGGACAGTGTAATTTTGGATGTATTTGTACATAAACAATGTACTCATTCCCATGAATGTGTATGTGTAAGAGCTGAAACTATTATTTTTTTAAGCAAGTCATCCGGGTTATTGCTATGGTTGAAATAAATATGTGTTACAGTGTATGTAGTGTGTTTTAACAATATACTGTGGATTTATTCCCTGTGCTAGCTAATTAGTAATTCCCCACACACAAAACAAAATGTGTTTTTTTAAATATTAGTTTATTTCACTGATCATCACTGTTCACTAATCATCACAGCTGTGAGGTTTCCAACAATCACCATATGTATAGACAATACATTCATTATAAACCTTTTACTATAAAATAGTAAAATAAAGCTATAAAGCTATACTATAGATAAATTTAATGTAGACATTTAATTGCAACATATATATATATATATATACACACATGATCAATTTACTGGACCATATGATGATGGCTGGTTTTTTAACGTCACGAGCTAAGAACAGTTAAGACAACCAAGTCCGATTAATGATATGAGAAGATGTGAAGAGCTAAGGTTACTTGTGAACCTTCATGTGGCAGGACCAGGATCGAACCCGGGACCTCTCGCTCGGTACCCACACAAGCGACTGAGCCACCGCCCCCCCGCCATAATTGACAAGTTGTGGCCGTAGTAATGGGTGAACAACTTCCGTAACTGTATTGATGCGCGACTAAAAAGATCGTATTTTGTGTATTTATTTTTATTTATTTTATTTTTTTATTTTTTGCTACATTTTAAATGTTGTTTTTCTTTCATCCCCTCTCTCACCAAAATTGAACATACCTTCCCCAATACACGCACAACACAAGAGGTATGTAATAATGATTCTCTTACTCTCTCCGTTATCCGTGATCGTCCTAGTAGTAATGCGTAGTGTATTAGGAGTACCGTCGTGGCACAACTTTATATAAAGCACATTAACGCTAAGATACTATATTTCAGACAACATCATCTTTACTATTCCAGCTTGACTCTACATATAATATGTGCCCACGGAATGAGCCGACGAATACAGATAGTTACGCGACATAGAAACATACAACTTACATATTGACAGGTAGTCTAGATTGTATCAACGGTATATGTAGCGTGACGTGTCGTAACTCGATCAAACTAGTCGCCTGTTTCCCGGCTCTCCCTGTTTCTTATACTCCCGCTCGTTCTTTGTTCTAACTCCATCTTTCTCCCATTGTTACTGGCTGTCCGCGTGACACCTGGGCGAGCCCGTGACCATAGCCCTTCCTTTGTTCTCCGTTCCCTAGCGGCCCGTCGACACGCCCTACGACCTGCCTGCCGCGCGCAGGGAGACAAAGGCTTTGCTCTGCTATTTTATGTCCCTGACTATTTCCAGGGTAATTCTTCTAATATTCATAATTATCTTTAATTAACATTACTCCGCCC